TTTCTAACATAAGTGGCTGTCTAGCCCAAGGAGTGGGGAACGGTCTTCCCATTAATATTTCAAAAGGAGATAACCCTGTAGTCTTATTAGGTGTCATTCTTACCTCTGCTAGAATTGCAGGTAACATCTTCTTCCAGTGGGTATAGGTTCCTCCAGTAGCCTTCCTCAACTTATCCTTAATCGTCCTGTTTTTGGCATGTGGGTAAAATCTATTTGTAAATGGGTGAAAGGTGTAGTTGGGTACACTAGATGCTGGTGTTGTGATTTCTTTGGGTTCTGTGGATTGTTCCTTATATATGTAATGCACCTAGAAACATATTCTTTCACCAACCTAGATAAACCTGTAATGTAAAAATCCTGCAATAATGTTGTTTTCCATCCTCTATGTCCTAGACCGTGGTACTGTGCAATGAACAATGGGGCACTTGACATGGGAATGCATGGCTTCCCCTCTAAGCACACTAGACCAGAAGCTGGATCTAGTTGTGCTCCAGAACCATCCCAGTCTGCTAAATCGATTTTTGTAGCAAATTTTTGTAAATCTGCATACATCTGGTCATGTGGGGTAGTTGTGGCGCCTGAAGTGAGCAAAGGCATCTGTTCACTGGCCACCTGTTGTAATGCGGCTTCCTTTGCTACCTTATCTGCTAATGCATTTCCTTTGGCAATATGATCTCTGCGATTTGTATGTGCCCTGCAATGAAGAATGGCTAATGTTTTTGGTAACTGTATGGCTTTGAGTAGATCAGATATCAAAGAAGAGTGAGATATGGTTTTGCCATCAGCAGCAATGAATCCTCTTCTCTCCCAAATGACCCCAAAATCATGTACAGCACCATGGGCGTACTTGGAGTCTGTGTAAATGTTGACGTCCTGTCCTGCAAATAATTGACATGCTCTTGTAAGGGCAATCAGTTCGGCTGCTTGGGCTGACTGATATGGAATTGGCTTTGCCTCGAATATTTTGTCAGGAAGTTGCACAATGCCGTATCCTGCATGGTAAGTACTATCATTTGGCCTAGAACATGAACCATCAACAAACACATCTGGGGCCCCATCAAGAGCCACAGCTGACATGTCGGACCTAGGGGAAGTGTCTTGCTGTATGTGGGTTATACAATTGTGTTCTGGTGCCACTTCACCCTGTTCCCCCTTTAGCCCCAGTAGGGCATTCAAAATTGGAGCAGGACCTGAATTTGCTGAAGAATATTTAATAATCAAGTTGGGATCAGATAGAAGAATCACTTCATATCCGCTCAACCTTTGTGCTGACATGTGTTGAGTGTGTATGTTTTTCAGTAGTAAGGACACTTGGTGTGTGGTGTGTAGGGTAGTTTCATGTCCCAATGTGAAAGAAATAGCCCTCCCCACCAGAATTGCGCACGATGCAACAGCTCTCAGACAAGCAGGCATGCCCTGAACCTGAGTTGGCACTACTTTGGAAAAAAAAGCTACAGGGCGGAGCTTGCCTCCATGTTCCTGAGCCAGGACCCCCGCCATGGTTGTACAATTTTCCCTAGCATACAGATGAAACATTTTCTTATAGTCAGGTAGTCCAAGACCAGGGGCCGTTACCATAGCATTCTTCAGGTACACAACGGCATCAACCATGTCATTTGACCATGTGAGAATGTCAGGTGATTCTGAAAGTGTGGCAGACCTCAGAGTGTGATCATAGAATGAACAATCAGGTATCCATTGGCGGCAGTAACCAATCATACCAAGAAAAGTTAGCATGTCCTTTTTTGTTTGTGGGCGGGGCAGACCCACGAGAGCCGCAGCTCTTTTGTGACTGACATTCCTCTCACCATGACCCAGAATAAAACCAAGGTATTCAACCTGTTTTTGGCACCATTGCAATTTCTTTTTAGATGCTTTGTGACCATTCCCTGACAACCATTCTAACAGAGACCCAACTATCCTCCTGACTGGCCTCCTGACTTGAACTACAAATCAATAGGTCATCCACATATATAATGAGGACCGAACCATTGGGAGGGGTCCAGGACCTCAGTGTGGTCTGGAGGGCAAGTGAGTAGACTGCAAATGAATCTACATAGCCCTAGGCATTCTACACCAGCTCATCTGGCAATTTTCATAATATAAATACAAATAGCGCCCTTGTCTGGTGGTCCACAGGAACCGAAAAAAATGCATTTGTTAAATCAATCACTGTAAAATATTCTGCATCGGACGGAATGGAGGTAAGGAGTGATGGCACGCCAGGCACTATTGGGGCTAATGGAACCACCAAATTATATTTATGGCCCTCAAATCTTGTACAAACCTGTAAGAGCCATCCGGCTTCTTAACAGGATTGATAGGTGTGTTGTAAGGAGAAACAGTTTCTTCTACCTTCTGTTTACATGCTGTAGCAATAGGGAGGGAAGCCTTATTCTTGAAAACCCTTTTTAATTCTGTGTCAAGCTCCTCCCACATAGTTTCTCTCCCTTCTGTGGTGTTTAGTTTATAGGCAGTAGCCTGTGTATTACTTGGTTCTATGTGACTAATGCTTTTTACATTTATCCAATCCCAAGCTGGATTATTTCCCAGAATACCATCAATGATCAATCTCATATCTTCCTGTGTGTAATTTCTTCCTAAACATGCCTTTTTTAAATAAGCAAGTGTACCTCCAGGAGATACTGTAGGCTTGGGACAATGTTTAACAATCTTATTAATATCTTCTAATTCTATGGGTTTTTTTAGAATTAGTTCTCCTGCTGTGAGAAAAGGTAGTGTCAATATAGCCAACTCCTTTCCTCCTACGGCCCCCTCATCTTCTCTTTTTTCCCTCTAGTTTCTTATCCATGGATCTAAGCTGCATTCTAAATTCCTCCACCTCTCTCTCTGCCCTTTCTATGACTGGTGTCACTTCTTCTCCATTGACCATCCTTTTTCTGTAATTTTATTATATTTACCTGTCCCTGTTCTTTGTATTCCAACTCTCCTTCGTTGTCATTATTCTCTGTAAGGATGCCTTGAACTTGGCTACCCTCCTCTGGTGATTTTATACTAATAATCTGTTTGGGTCTAGTGGAGGGGCCTGGCTGTATTGGTTGTAGATTCCCGTCCCGGGAAGTGGCGCAGGGACAGGGGCAGGGACTGGAGGGGCAGGAGCAGGAGCTGGAGCTGCAGAGACAGGAGCAGGGGCTGGAGGGGCATTAGGCTGGGGAGTAATCATCCCCAAAACTAATCAAAAAAATCATCATCAGCAGCATTTTTAAAACAACTTAATGAAGGATATATATTATACGGAGGGGGTGGGATTGGTGTCTGAACTGTTTTCAGTCCAATCTTGGGTCTGCATGTCTTTTCAGATTGATGCTTTTCCTGGCATACTTTTAATGTATCCAATTTCAACTTCCTCTTTTGTTTTAAAGAGAAAATCAAATTGAACTTTCCCTTGCTATTATCAACCCAATACGGTGACCATTTTAACCAGTTTTCTCCCCCTTCCTTGGGAATGGGTCTGTACCCCCCATAGCTTCTGTCCAGCCTGCCATACAATCCACCCAGGGATTTATTAAATAATAGTCCGTTCCACAAACTCTAGCAACATAATCCTTACAATTTTCTCCCTTTTCTGGGGGACCTGGTGGGTAACTACCTCCTTGACCCATATTTAGACAGTGGATAAAACATTTTAGCTTAAAATCTTATTTTGTTCCACACAACAAATTATCTTATACTTCTACGCAACAGAAAGAAAAAGCAAAAGACAGATAAACCAGAATCTGCTCCACAGACTTATTAACCTCTTGATAACTTCCCAAAGTTATCTCTTCACTGTTTTACCAAAAACAGAGAACTGTGTTTACCAAAACACCACTTTTTTTTATATTATAGTGCACTATTTTGTAACTCTTACCAAAGAGTTAAGTCTGCTTTACCAAAAGCAGCTACAGGTTATCACGGGTCTATATAGACAATACAGAATGATTCAAGACCTTCCCTCAACACAGGGCAAGAAAGAGCTTTTAGTCATAAAAAGACAAAAGGTTTACTTACCAAGTGAGGTGGGTGGTCATCCCGGGCTGAGCCCCCAGCTGAAAGGAATGATTTTCTTTTCCCCTCAGAGACCCCCGGTCTGTGGAGAGATTCCTGGTTTATCAGCAGAATTCTGGGAACACCCCTTGAACACGGAAATCACGACAGCTTATGTTCAGAGATGTTCAAAGTTTATTAGACATTAATAAGATTATATAGACTACAGATAATCATAAGGGAGGGGGGGAGCGAGTTTCAAAACTGTAACTTGTAACTTTCCATCATGAGCTAACTACATGAAACATAACATATACACATTTCTTGGTACAAATTGTTCTGGCTAACTTTCTGGGAAAACAGCCAGACAAAGACATTGTCAGGGTCGTGTTAGCTTCTGTTGATACATCCTTGAACAACTGAAAACAGTTTCATTAAACTTCTAATATCTCTACAAAAAACTAACTTAATACTTAATACTTAAAATGGCGTACATAATACAAAATGGAAGTTATCTAGATCCTTTCAGTGAGTCAGTGGCAGGAAAGAAAAAAGGAGGAGGGAAAAAAAGGCTGAATAAAGAAAACGCAACAATCGCATCCAAGCACTGGTTAGCTGCAATATGTTATATTGTTCTTGGTTTTAGATATGCTGTAAAGTAGCTGGCTGAATGTTCATTTAGGATCTGATTACTTCTTTGACATGGCAAAAATATTCTTGGCGTATCTCCACTGAGCATTTTAATGTAGGCTGGGTTCTTGTGCAAAGCAGCAAGAAGCATTTCATAGCTCAGGGGAAATATTCCACATGAGCACACAAAATAAATGTCCGTAATCTTCAGAGAATGTAGGGCAGGAACTAGATGGAACGTTAGAGATGATTAGAATAAGTCCTTTATTTCAGAAAGTTACTTAGCTGTGTAACATCTTGCATGTGGAAAGTGATCGTCTAATGTTTAGCTTCAGATATACAAGACTTTCTCAGGTTAAATCTGCAGCTTTTATGTTCTTTAGGAAATCAAAGAAAAAAAAGAAGAAAACGAAAAAAAAGAAAGGAGCAAAGAGTAAGAAACCGGATTATGGTAAGACATCCTATTTTCAGATACAAGAAAAATAGCAATCGCATGCTAAGAATTGTAGTGTTCTGAATGTAACGTATTTCCATTTGTTTATCATTTTCCTTTCATTTCATTTCCTTTTTTTTTTTTTTTAAGATCCCATAAAAGCTGAACCCCTTGATCCCACACTGCAGGCAAAAATGAGTTTGGACAAAAAGGCAAAAAAGGTGATTTTACCTTTTTTAAGGGGAGTGTGTTGTGGTTTTGTACATGGGTTTCTTTCATTTACCATAGTCAAGACTATAAAAAATAAAATGTAGGCGGCATAAATAAGAAAAATTGTTTAATATTTACATTTTTGACAGATAGCAGGTCTCCCTTTCATGTTAATAGGCATTAGGGGGTTAAAGGATTCCCCCAAAGAATAGAAGTTTAAAAGACAACCAACAGCGGTGTAAATAAAACCAATAGCTTTATTGTTTCACAAAAAATGGTAATAGAGCTATTAGGCCAACATATCCCCTATTCACATGAATAAAATGGATAACGTTATCACTTTAAAATGACCCGGGCCGCACATACTATGAATATAGACATATCACAACTACCTTCCGTCTTAAATGAACATTAATTATGAGTCAATTAACCAGAGTCTCATAAAGTGGGATAACCACATTAGACCAGCAATACAGGATCCAAGACCCTGGAGAATAAACGCTCCAACCAGGACATAATCTACCATTAATAGGCAGCACATACGGAAATTAGGAAAAAAGGGGCACACTGAATCAGCCCAATATTAGTGTAAGGCCATAATGGCCAATCGCATCCATAGAGGGATAACTTCCCTTAATAGCCACAGATAATACTAGAATGTGCACAATAAAGTAGGAGCTCGCAGTTATATATATGAATAATTGGATGCTTATTTGGTCTGTTCATCCAATAGATCCACTGAGTCTGATTACAGATTAATGAAAATAAACATCCAGCTTCAATGGACATCGATAGACAGCAGTGTCAATGGTATACAGTTGAGAATAGGGGCTAATGCCCATTTAACCTGACCACAGGTGTATAAGAAAATTTATAGTATCCAAATCGCATTGGATACTATAATTTTCCACTTGAAGTAAAGGCTAATAGCCTAATGATGATGAAACTTGAAGGCTAAAAGACCAGTATAGTATGACCTGATCAGTCCAGGCCTGATCTCAATTGCAAAAATGATATCCACAGTGAATACTGACAATTGTAAAGTCGTCGTATATCAGAGTGATAGCTTTGGACCTTATACGTGAAAGGTACTGGTGTAGCATTGATACGGCGACTGCCACTAAAAATTGTGTCCAGAGCACCTGCTGCCATTTTTCTGCACCTCAGTTTTCTATGTTTTCTTGGATAGTTGAGTTGCTTAGCCTTGCTTGCACCAAAACATAGGAATGGGGTACATTCTGTGTTCTTGTAACTGTGTGCTTTAAACTGGTATTTCAAATCTTATTAGTTTCCCAGCTTTCTTCTTTAAACTTTTTAAAAGAAAAAAAAAATTATGTATTAAGGAGAGGAAGAGGGGTTGATGAGCCAAATCGGGACAGCACCCTAATGGCAAGCATGGCTACCCTCCTTTGATAGTGGAGGAGGGAGCCTTGTTACCCTAAAATGGACAGTTTGTTGTCTGCAGGATTACTAGGTGAAAAATAAAAGATGAAAAGACGGGAAAAAAAAAAAAAGAAAACAAATTCAGCCACCACTTAAGGATACAATTGCAAGCCACAATTTATTACTTTTTTGTTATTGTGTGTAGATGTGCTTTAATTTTAGGTTGTTGTACCAGCGTAATGGGTTGATTTCCTTAAACTGGTATCAAATCTGGTGCAGCTGTGCACGTTAGCCAATCAGCTTCTAACTTCAGCTTCAAGGTTTTCTTATCAAAGTTTAATTGAACTTAAACTTTGATAAGAAAACCTTGAAGCTGAAGTTTCTATGCAGAGCTGCACCAGATTTTGCACTCTCCAGTTTTAGTAAATCAAGTCTAAGGTGGATGGTACTTTTTTAAACTCTGTATAATTTCTGTATTTCTGACACCTTTTAGTGGCTAGTGTCATTCAGAAGGATCCAGTTTAGCTTTATAGAACCGGTCAGGCCATTCGCTGACTTTTCTCATCATTCAGCTCACATTATGAAAATGCAGACACATGGAAGAGAATGTGTCTGGTTTTATTCCTATTGCTCGGGGCACAGTGCACTGGGGAATGTAGACGCATCTCTGTATTGGTGCAGGAAAGCGGTCTCCTCTAGCAGACAGGAAAGAGGCTTAGATTTTTGATTTTCAGATCTGGGAGTGGTGCCATGCACATGTGCTGTTCTGAATTCCAGCAAGACAGTTTGGTGAAGGGTAAGTAACTCAATGAAGTCTTCATGACTGAAAATGTTAGCACACCCTGTTTCACTGTGGGAAAGACCTAAAGGCTAATATGCAGCTTCAATGTTTCGACCGTCTCGAAAGACATCAAGTCGTGCTCTGCATACATCAGAAGGGGATCAGTTGAAATACTCTTATTGTGGAGTGTTCTTTATGGCTTTTGTCTGCTTAATTCATTAGAACTTCAGAATCCTGAATGCTATAATCCCACTCAAGTGGATAATTCTCTTCTGCCACACCATCCAAAAGCCAAGGATCTGCACCACATAATGTGGTACATGAGAGCTTCCAGACTTTATGTATTAGAGAGCCTCTGCTGTGGCTTTAACTAACTTTTGTAGCGATACAGATTTCAAGTGTGTGTGTCTGTGGTGGGTTTTTTTTATATATATTTTCCCATGTGTTATATTGTTCATCATTTATTCTTTGGAATCTCCAGCAGAAAAGGGATTACTGTAAATGTATTTTTTTTTTTTTTTTATTAAGACGGATGATTGTTACAGTTGACAGTTATTACACATGAATATGTTTTTGTACATGCACTTTTTTTTTTCATGATGCCTGATAAAACTGGTGACCTAAAAGGACAAAATTATTATTATTTTTTTTTTTCTTTATTAGGGCAAGCTAGTTAAGAAAATGAATTTGGCTACTGAACCTGCAGTAGATGTTAAGGTTAACTCCAAAAAGACCTCCAAAAAGACAAATTCTTCATTGAACAACCTTCCAGGATCTTCTGACATGCAAGCAGCGGCTGGTGGGAATGACTCCTCTAATAGTAAGAAAAAGACTGCATCAGCAAACACAGCCCCCGTACAGGGTAAATGAGAGTTAGCTGTGAGTTAATGTCTGTGTTGCTAAAAAATACTCACTTGAACAAAACCTGTATTCTTGTCATAATGGATCTATTTCTGCTTTAGAAATTATTTTCTAACATTAGAAAAACTTGTAAAATTGTAATTTTGTCCCTTTGTGCATAAAGCTGCCAGTTTAAAGTCCAATCCAGGAGCAGAAAAGATTGATGAGAGTTCTTCTAGCTCCGAGTCTGAAGAAGAGACTACAAAGCAAGTAAGTTGTTTTTTTATTTTTTTTTTTTGTTTTTTCCTCTTAACTGTAGATTGTGGGGAAGAAGGCGTTTTTGGATGGATCATATTTAATTTTGGCCTCGAAGTCAACCTGTTCCATATTTATGGTGTAATGTCCCCGCTCACCTTCCTCAACCCTATTGTAACAGCAGGTGGGGGTTCTTCTCTCCGCACCCACTTTCACCCACTGTCACATTTTGAAAAGAGCACAGCTGTGCAGGGCTCTGTCTGCACAGCCACGTCATTCATAGGAATCAGTGAGGTGAAGAAACTGCAAGTCCCATCTGCCAGTGTGGCAGACAGACTTGTAGTTTGAATGTATTGCAGGCGTGGTTCACACTGATGCGGTGCGGAACTTGCAGCATTTTCTGTGTGATTTCCGCACCGCATCACAATCGCATCCCGTTCACACTGACCGATGCGGGTGTGTATGTTAACGACACCCCCACATCGGTCTACAAAACGTGGTGCGATGTGCAGAATTGGATCGCATAGGTGTGAATAACTGTGATCAGATTCTAGTGCTGACCAAAAAAGGGTCCTGCGTGTTTTTGGTGCGGTGCTAATCGAGCCATACAAAATCTATTGCATGTGATTTGTACAGGAATGCGGTGCGGTTCCTGTGTGAATCACGTGGGATTTACCGCAGCAGACTGATGTGAACCCAGGCTTACAGCTTTGACAGTAAAAGACCCCCTCTCCCTCCAACCATACATTTTGTGTAAGTGCAGGACCTATAGAATTAAAAGACTCACTCGTACATCCCTCACGTTTTTGTAAATCTTTTATTATATCTTTTCATGTGACCACACTGAAGAAATGACACTTTGCTACAATGTAAAGTAGTGAGTGTACAGCTTGTATAACAGTGTAATTTTTCTGTCCCTCAAAATAACTCAACACACAGCCATTAATGTCTAAACCGCTGGCAACAAAAGTGGGTACACCCCTAAGTGAAAATATCCAAATTGGGCCCAAAGTGTCAATATTTTGTGTGGCCACCATTATTTTCCAGCACTGTCTTAACCCTCTTGGGCATGGAGTTCACCAGAGCTTCACAGGTGCCACTGGAGTCCTCCTCCATGACGGTATCACAGAGCTGGTGGATGCTAGAGACCTTGCACTCCTCCACCTTCTGTTTTGAGGATGCCCCACAGATCAATAGGGTTTAGGTCTGGAGACATGCTTGGCCAGTCCATCACCTTCACCCTCAGCTTCTTTAGCAAGGCAGTGGTTGTCTTGGAGGTGTTTGGGATGGTTATGTTAGAATACTGTCCTGCGGTCCAGTCTCCGAAGGGAGTGGATCATGCTCTGCTTCAGTATGTCACAGTACATGTATGTCACAGTACATGTTGGCATTCATGGTTCCCTCAATGAACTGTAGCTCCCCAGTACTGGAAGCACTCAAGCAGCCCCAGACCATGACACTCCCACCACCATGCTTGACTGTAGGCAAGACACACACTTGTCTTTGTACTCTTCACCTGGTTGCCACCACACACGCTTGACACCATCTGAACCAAATAAGTTTATCTTGGTCTCATTAGACCACAAGACATGGTTCAGTAATCCATGTCCTTAGTCTGCTTGTCTTCAGCGAACTGTTTGCGGGCTTTCTTGGGCATCATCTTTAGAAGAGGCTTCCTTCTGGGACAACAGCCATGCAGACCAATTTGATTGCGGCATATGGTCTGAGCACTGACAGACTGACCCTCCACTCCTTCAACCTCTGCAGCAATGCTGGCAGCACTCATACGTCTATTTCTCAAAGACAACCTCTGGCTATGACGCTGAGCACGTGCACTCAACTTCTTTGGTTTACCATGGCCAGGTCTGTTCTGAGTGGAACCTGTCCTGTTAAACCGCTGTATGGTCTTGGCCACTGTGCTGCAGCTCAGTTTCAGGGTCTTGGCAATCTTATAGCCTAGGCCATCTTTATGTAGAGCAACAATTCTTTTTTTCAGATTCTCAGAGTTCTTTGCCGTGAGGTGCCATGTTGAACTTCCAGTGACCAGTATGAGAGAGTGAGAGTGATAACACCAAATTTAGCACACCAGCTCCCCATTCACACCTGAGACCTTGTAACACTAACTAGTCACATGACACCAGGGAGGGAAAATGGCTAATTGGGCCCAATTTGGACATTTTCACTTAGGGGTGTACTCACTTTTGTTGCTAGCGGTTTAGACATTAATGGCTGTGTTTTTTATTTTGAGGGGACAGCAAATTTACACTGTTATCAAGCTGTACACTCACTACTTTACATTGTAGCAAAGTGTCATTTCTTCAGTGTTGTCACATGAAAAGATAGAATAAATATTTACAAGAAAGTGAGGGGTGTACTCACTTCTGTGAGATACTGTAGGTATTAATAGTAAAAAATGTGCGGTGTCTAGGGGTGCTAACAGCTGGATGATCCTCCTCCAATGGTTGAATGGTTCTATCACAAAGTCGGATGCTCTGTCCAAGAGCATTACTGTCACTGGAATATACCCAGTCGTGCAGATGAATTAAACAGAGATTTGCTTTATACATGATTGCATGAAGTGAACACAGCTTTTACTTAACTAAAGTGTACATGCCTTTTCCTGTCTGTCTTGTTTAGTAAATTGTCCAAGTGTGGGGAATGTTCAGCTGGTGAATGTGTACTTCTTTTATTAGTATTTTATAAAAAAAAAAAAAATTTTATCTTAAAGGTTGTACATGGTAAAAACGTGCCAGACACAGCAGCTGCTGAGAAGAAATCTCCCTGTAAACCATCCAGTGGCAAAGCTGAGATGAGTGAGAGCTCTGACAGTAGTGATGAGACCGACATTGATAAGCCTGTGAGTTTGATTCATCTGTCAAATTAATGCATAAAATATAATAATTTCAAAGTTCATAAATAAGTTACAGGTTTAAAACTATCATCTGCATTTTTTTTTTGTATGAGCACTAGGCAAATTTGTGATATTACTATTGTAAAGAGAGTTGAAACCATGGCTAACAGTTAACCTCAACTTTAACCCAGAACTTTGGTGTGTGTGGTTTTTTTTTGGTTTTTTTGAATGACTTTTGGCAGAGTAGGAAAGGATTTGATTCTGACCCTTCCTGGCAGGACATTAACTCATTTCAAACCAGACAGAGGTTTTAACCACCTCCCGACCTTGCCATAGCTGAAAGATGGGTGCAGTGCGGTTGTCCCGTTCTGCAAGGGTGTCTATAGACGTCCTCCCGGAACCATACTCCCAGGGCATGTATCGGCACATTCGCTCAAAGAATGCCGATCAAAGATCGTGGTAAAGGGCCAATCACAGCGGCCCTTTACTATGTGATCAGCTGTGTCAAATCACAGCTGATCACATGTAAACAAACCTTGATGGTTATTGGCTTTTCTTTTTGAGGAAAGGAAGCTGATAACTGGTAATCCTGACAGCACACATTTATACTGATTATCAGTGCAGCCCTGCTAGGGCCCATCAGTGAAGAACAACACATTTTTCTAAAAAATGTTTTCTTTTTGCTATAAAAAAAAAAAAAAAGTAGTGCAGTGGTTAAAAAGAAACAGTCACTTAAAAATGTACGCAGGTGCTATAGCTTTTCTCACCTTTTGCTGCAGCTGAACACCAAGCCACAAGCAAAACTCCATAGCATCCTATTTGTGTCAGAGCAGAGCTTGCCCACTGTCCCCCCGCTCCTACGTGGTCTGTGTGTACTGCCACGTTGGCTCAGTAGAATTGTGTATAAGGGTGAATAGTTTGGCATTTGGCCTCAAGGCCTGCACTTTATACCTGCTCCTTTTTTCTTTCTTTCTTTCTGATTTGAGTGCGGCTGAAATCTTCCCAACTTTGAGGGATTGGGGGGGGGGGGGGCTGAAATCTCCCCAACTGTAAGGGATATGTATATATGCTATACAAAGTGGTTATTTTTGCTAGTCTTTTTATTGTATGTTGGGAATAGAAGCTTGAATTTATATAATGCTAGTGTGCATTTTTGTGTCTTTAAAGTGTTACTAAACCAACAACAGTAAAATCAGTCTGTATATGCAGTAAAGCATGCTTGTTATACTCGCTGTGGAACCGAAGGGATTAATCCTCTGCGTTGTGTAAAAAGGCTGTTTTTGATCGTTTCTTCTCTGCCCCTCCTCTTGTTGAAGTGACCACTTGATGCAGACTGAACCCCTCACAAGCATATGCTCAGTTTGGTGTGTATTGCTAGAGAGGTTTTTTTTTTTCTTGGGAGGGTGCATGTGACCAGCACAGGGCCAATCAGCACTGTCCAGACAGAGGGTCAGAGTTTTCCTCCTAGAACAGAAAGAAAACTCCTCCTACAAGCTTTAACCAGTGCTCTGCTGAAGTCAAAAGACTGCTCTAACTGCTGCTGAGAAAAGGTATTTTAGCAGTTTATTTACTAAAATAATTGCATTTTCATGTTGTGTGTACTGTGGGAGACTAGGCATATTGAATGCAGGGCCCTGGGTTTAGTATCACTTTAAATATTTCCTAGTTCTTATAACTACATGTGGTTGATGCATAATCCTGACATTTTTTAACTATTCTTCATAGCCAGCCAAGCCCACAGTCCCCTCAAGTTTACAGGCTTCGAAGGGTAAAAGACAGGCTGCACCCCCCAGCACAGAAAGTTAAGGCCGATAGTAGTACAGAAAGCAGTGAGACTGATGATGACGAGCCAGTGAAACAGGTAAGAGGTGAGAGTGGCATCATGTGAACATTTGTGTTGTATCATTATTAGTTTCAGCAGGTACAGCCAAAGTGCTAAATGTACAGTTGAAATGTTTGGGAACTTGTTTTAGTTGCCAGAAAAATGGCTACCTCTACTACTTGCGCCATGAATTAGAAGAGACAATCAGCACATCACTGACCCTTTCTATGTAGAAGTGGTGGTTTTCATTTCATTGTTGCATTTCTATTTCTATGTCTGTGCTAGCATCAGCATGATGGTTCAGGTTTTGGTAAGCAGTTTAGATTGAATTTAATGAAACTCTGCCACTTTGCCCATAAAGCAAAAAGTTTTCAAAAAGGTACCTCACATATGCTTGTTCAGTGCGCTTCTCCATTGAGCCCTTAGGGTTTACCCAGCGTTTCCAAGTATTTGGGAGCAGGTGATCTTTTGCCAGGGTACAGTGCTCAGGTCTAAGCAACCCAACCCTGCAAAAAATCTGACATGAAGCTTCCATAGGGTTTTCACTCCTGGGGAGTGTGGCGATAGTGAGTACCAGTGGGTTGGGTGTGGGAGCTTTTAATTCCTTACTAGGCAAAGTGAGAATCTTTTTAAAGGCTAGGTTTCAGCAGTTAAAGTGAATTCAAAGCCTTATGTGAGATGTCCTCTTTCTTCCTGTTGTGTTTATGTGAAGGGAAGCAGAAGCTTTTGTACCCTGAAAATGTCAGGTTTCTCTTTGCCCTGCCGTGTACTGTGGTTTCTCCTACTAAACCTTTAGAGTATTACTGTGTTATGTAGTGATGTGGGAGCCAGGAGGAAAGCCCACTTCACTAAGCGTAGAACCAGGAATCTTGGAAGCGTGGATTCAAAAGATTCTTCCAGTGATGGCATTTTTGTAATACAGCAGCAAATGGTGGTGCAGGCAAGAAGTATTAAATATCATCTTTAAAGAGGGCACATTTTTGAGTCTGTTTCACCGAGTCAGGCAGAGTGAACTTTTGTAAATTTGGTGTCTTGGAAGCACCCTGTTATAAATATTTTGTGTTTTTATACAGAAGTATAAAAAGAGATTAAACGTTAATTCTTTGAATACATCAATATGGTTCCCATCTGCACACTGCCTCGGCATTATAGTGAGGTCCTCCTAGTAAAAAATAGCTTGGTCTTGTTCCCATGGGAGAACACCTCTAACATGTTTTTCTCAATAGGGGCTTAATCATGGAGCACCTGCAAACATTGTGGCTAGTCAGCTGGGATAAAAGATTGGGGCATTTGAGCAGTATCAATTTTTGGTCTACTAAGTACATTCTGAATTCTTTGTGTCATATAGGGGACATTCTATCAGTTGTGTTTTTAAAACTTAAAAAAGCTATGACTTATCTAGTACGCATATCGTGAATACTAGTACCTAGTACGAACCCTAATGTTCTAGAGGAGAGCAAAACAAAACTTCTGGTGGAATTAATTGAGGCGGGACAATTATAAATTTATCGTGTGTGGTGGTGTTGGGTTTTTTTTTTGTTTTGTTTCTCTCAGTGTTTAAATAATTCTTTGTTTTTGTTTGCAGGGAGTGACACCAACTCCTAAACTTGCATCTCTACCTGCTGTCTCAGCAGCAAGGTTGAAGGCACAAAGCTCACTCCCTACTTCACAGTCTATTAAGGCAAAGAGCAGTTCAGAGAGCAGCGAGTCTGACAGTGAAGAAGAGTCTGTAAAGCAGGTAATTGCTTGGCATCACTCAGTGTATTTACTGGCTTATTAAAAACTGCTTATGTATATTTAACAATCCACATGGAACTGTGATTTCCTACTCTGACTCTTGATAAAGATGCAAGTTAATTTGATCAAGTTTTCCAGTTAATAATTGCAACGTTATTTTGTAGTGAACACACACTCCTTCTCTCTCCTAATTGTGTAGTACAGGACACAAGTATTCACATACTGAGTTATACGCTGATGTCTTCAGATGATTGGACACTGGCCAGCTTTTAAAGAAACTTCCCCTGAGAAACACCCCTAGCACCCCCTCCACCCCACTTTGTGAGTCCTCAAATTTTTGTTAGTGCCCTAAGGTGATGGACATCTTTTCCCTTTATGGAGAAATCATTCTTAGCTTAACTAGGTTATTATTTTTTATTTTTTTTTTTTAGGTTTTTTTTTTTTTGTTTTTTATTCAACTTTTCACCGTATTTGAAAACCACAATTGAAGTCTCTGCAACCTCTGTAAAACCTTGGGAACCATACCCAGGCCCCACAACCTGGGGATGGCCTGTAATGTTGCTTCAGGCACTGGATCCTGCATGTGTGCTCACCTAGGCACTTTGTACAAATGTGTAGTTAGCTGCAGGGTGGTACACCTTTCAAGAGCCATGGTCCATTCCTATGGAACAAAATGCGATATCTCCTGCGCTCCAGGACCCAGACCGGTGGTGAGTAGATGGAATCAAACTCCAAAAAGGAAGGAAGGAACCACCGGAATAGACAAGGTCGTGCAGCTCCACACCAGGGCTGGGGAAGCCCAAACAGAACTGTGAGGAGGAACAACAAAAAGAAGCGCACCAACCTTGCGCATTACATTACATCAGTAACCAAATTTTATTTAATAAAAGAATGGTACTCACAAACAGCGAATAAAAACAGGCATGTAAGTCCTCAAGAGCTGCAGCTCTGAGGAAGAAGGCACGTCCTTCGAAACGTGTCAGCTGTACTGAGTGGCTTCCTCCATGATGGGATTCGCATTGGCATCTTGCCTTTAAAGTCCCCTTGAGGACTTACATGCCTGTTTTTATTCGCTGTTTGTGAGTACCATTCTTTTATTAAATAAATTTTGGTTACTGAGGTAATGCGCAAGGTTTGTGCGCTTCTTTTTGTTGTTCCTCCTCACCATTCCTATGGAACCCAGACTCTGCGGATCCCTGACTATACAGGGACCAGCGTCATGGACAAGTAAGAGAGTAACACACTATCTGACAGTTACTGTAGTCCCACAATCCTGAGAGGTATTTGTTCACGTGCTCTATTCATCAGGAAGCCAGGAACTGTTTGAAAAGTTTACACTGTAAAGTGAATAAAATTTCAAACTGGGCAACAAAAATTTAACTACTCAGATCTTAGTCTTAGGTGGAACCAGGTGTTACAACACACCACAAGTCACATACTTTCCTCCCACCCTTTTGCCACAGGGACTTTGCTACAGGACAGGCTGCACCCAAGTTGCTGCATACTCCTTTTTTGGACACGCTCTACCCCATTTCTGCACAATAACCCTCACCCATAGCAGTGGTGGAAACCACGTGAAAGGAAGCTGCAGTGCAAACTTATGGTTTTTTGTCGGTTTCCTGCCCCCCCATCCACTACAGTCCAAGGAGCCCATAGACTATAGTTTCCTTCTCTGTATTGATTGTAAAATTTGATTGTCATTTTATATCTGTGGTGATAGGAAAAAATATACACTGCCGTTTTGGTAAATTCTAGATGCCTGCCTGTCTCTGGCTTCGATCCTTTCTGAGTTGAAGTCCTGAAACAATCATGTAAATTTAGTAAGTGATAGTGAAGTCATAACTATGATCTTTATACTTGTATGTCAAAGATCACTGATTCAAAAAGTATGGAAGCCCTTGGGCCTGAATGGAAACCAGCATTTTCAGAAGAAAGTAAGCAACGTCAGCATCCATACATCTTGCTAAATATTTGTTGTGAATGGCCTCTTTTATTTTGTCTCTTTAACCTCCCTGGCGATATTCCCAAGTGTAGCTCGGGGTAAAGTTTCAGCACCACAAACGGTAACCCGTGAGCTACACTCGGGAATACCCTGCAGCGCTGCTCCGGGATCTCTTCTTCACTTACCTTGTCCTTCACTCCCGTGATGTCCCTCCTGCAGTGTCCCCGGGAATGTCCTCCAGCATCCGTCTTCTGGGTTCCGTTCCCTGCGACGTCAGGACGTACGGGGACGGAACAGCGGGAAATTTAAAAAATGTGTGAAAAAGTGACATTCACTAAATACACTAAAATCACATAGTAAAACATTACTGTATCAAACCATTTCATACATACATTTTGTCGTGAGTGCTTTGTCCTGTGCCCTGCCTGCATTTTTACCGTTCTTTCTGCCTGGAAATTGAGAAAAGTCCATGGCGTCCAAAAAGCGTCCCTTTTTATGTCAAAAGCAGTTTTAGACCAGCTAGAGAACAGCGATAGTAAACCGGAACCACTTGCAGAATTGAATGATAATGATTCGTGGGGAAATTCGTCATCAGACCCTTAAAACGATTTTGCGACTTTGCTCAGTGATGTGCGAACTTGGCACTATATTTCAAATTTCAGTGTTTTTGGTTTGATTATTGAATTAAATTTATTTTATTATTTTTTTTATGATTATTTATTAAATTTTATAATTTGATTTCGTGTTTCAAATTTTAACATACCTGGGATGTTTACTAGACTCTTGTTCAGACAGATTTGAGTGAGTTATTCCTAAAAATTACAGGCCTACAATAAAAAAAATATTTTCCATGCAAAAAAATTTACCGCTTTGAACACAGAAATACTGATGTAATCAGACCGCTAGGGAGGCTACAGGATAAGTTCACCTTTTTAGTAAAAAAATGATAAATGCACATTTTTTTTTGGCAGGTAAAAAATGTGCATTATTATTTTTTGTCTGCAGGAGCCTGTAAATCGTTGCATCAGCGGTCAACAGATCGCTGGTGCTATGCAGATCTGTCAGAATTTCTGCTTGCTCGTACGGGATGTATGAGCAAACCAATATATTGACAGGGAGAATCGATGAACTACCACGGTACTCCATGTGGTGGGGTTCGGAGAGAAGATCCCCCGCTAGCTGTTAGATCGTTACATGTTACACCCCCTGAATATGGATGTAACATGTTACTTAAGGTGAACTTATCCTTCTAAACTTTATTGAAATACTTTGGTATTTTAAATACTGAATATTACAAAACTTAAATATAAAAAGTACAGGGTACCTTGTCATGACTCTAGACTTGGGATGATAAAATTGCAGCCAGGTACCCTAATATACTGGGATTGGTAAGTATTTGGATACAAATTTTTGTTATGCTTCTGTCAACCCTTTTAGATTTAAAAATGGTTCTGATTGTTAGGGAGGGAGAATTTTAGATACATTTTGTCCATTCCTGTTCTTCGTAAATAATAGCAAACCTATTAATCGGCTGTACATAATGGGTTATTTTATCTTATTTGTATAGTGCTCACATATTAGTTGGGGCTTTAGAGAGCATGTAAAACCATTAACATTGGCCCCTGGCCTCCAGAGGAGATCAAATCATGTATCCTTTACATGTAAACAAAAAGCACAGCACTGAAAAATTGTGTTTGAAAAAAAAAAAAAATAATAAACTTAATGGATCACTACATCCCACCAGACAATAAATAATTCCCCTTAACAATCATCAGTAGGATAAATCAATAAAATCCGTGAATTAATACACCACTATTTGATAGAGTGCCGATGCAAAAATTACATGAATTCATAAAATCCAATATTAAATCTGATATCCTCCATTATCTGAATAAATAAATTCACCACTGTTTAGTGCACAAAAAAAAGTGTCAGTGCCAAATTACATACTTTCATAAAGTCCAGTACTAGATCAGATATTCTTCATTATAAATGTTTTGTGGTTATCGTGCATCCAAACAAAGGTGATCTTTAGTGCAATTCCTCCACCAACATGCACTCACCAGAACCAAAAGAATATGCAGCTCAAAACAGAAACTTCCAACCAAAGCAGGACCTCCGCAGACCTGTTTCACTAATGGATAGAAGCATTAGCTGGCAGTAAGTCCTTACGAGGAAAAAGCTTACCACACGGAGCCCATAATGAAGTACATAGTGTAGTAGTTTTAATATAATAATTGGTTTAGACAAATGCATCCACATGGAATAAAAACAATTGCGGCTGGCCCTACTAAGATAGCCGCTGGCCCAAACACTGACTCTCACGTATGGCCCCTTCCGACGCGTTTCGTGTTAGGTCTCCCTAGAGGTTGAGACTGCTTTTTATTAATCTTAGGGAGGCGGCACATAATGGGCTCTCAAGGGGCTGAGGGACAAAAGTTCCTCTGCTTTTTTTAGTAATCACACCCTTTCTGGAGCCACCCTTTTTTATAATCTTTTTAAGATCTCTCCTATATTTAACCATAGGGTCTTTTGGCAAAGTTTTATATAGGGATCTTTATCCTCAAGAATTTTATATACCTCTTTAATATAATTCTTTTGGTTCTGGTGAGTGCATATTTGTGGAGGAATTGCACTGACGATCACCTTTTGTTTGGATGCACGATGAAATATTTATCATAAGAATATCTGATCTGAAGCTACTGACTTGTATTTCCAGGACAAAAAACCTGCAAAGGCTGCCAAGGTGGTAAAAGCATCGCCAACCAAACCTACAAGGGGACTAAGCAAAGCAGCTACACCTGCCCAAGCCAATGCTTCAGCAGTAAAAGTCCAGCTTCATTCACAGATATTGGTGTCGGAGACTGAGAGCGACTCCTCAGACAGTGAAGAGAAGGTAATACACTGTACTGTAAAAGACTAGTATTCAACAGTATAATTTAAAGCACAGCTTCATTCTTTTCATATTATCTGCCTATAACTTATTTTGCTGAGTGCATGCTCTTCCATTTCTCATTGTGCGTTTTGACCAATGTTCGTGGCAATCCGTGCTTGTGTTCCAGTGGAAGTCTTTTCTTTCTTTACGGTCTAGCCTGGGGTGGCATAGATCACAAGATTGGCTGCAAGGGAGTTCAAATATTATTCGCCAGAATGCGTTTTGTTTTGTTTTTTTTATATTTGAACATACAGCCCTAATTCCAAAAAAGCTGGGATGCTGTGTAAAATATACTTAAAAACAGAATGTGTGGGGGGTGTGGCCTGGAGCAGCATAGCGTAGGGTGTACTTCTGGGAGCTCCGTCCAAGACTCATCCATTTCTCCTGATCCTGACTACTATCCTTCTCATACTAACGCCTGCTACGTCTGCTAAACTTCTCTCCATCTCCTTGTGCTATGTCGCCGCCGAAGAATGGTGCCGACGCTGGCGGTAAACTTGTTAAGTTTCGCCAGCAGGAGAGGGACATCGTGGGGGAAGATGGCGCCTCTGCCTCTGGAGAACCAGTGAAGTCTGACACTAATAAGGTGCTGGAGGCCAACTGCCAGAGTACCTTAACCTGCAAGATTGAGGAGGTGAAGATCGCTATCCCGCTTATTCGACAAGATCTACAAAAACTCTGGGAGCGGGTCACGGAGGCAGAAGCACGGCTTAGTCACGTGGAGGACGATTTTGCTGCCATTACAAGTCACTACCGAACGCCTGCAACACCAGCTTCATACAGTGCTACAGAAGCAAGACGACATAGAAAACAGGCTTCGCCGATGCAATCTCTGGTTCGTCGGTCTGCCTGAGAATGTGGAGGGTTCCGACCCAGCCTCCTCCTGGGAGTCATTACTCACTACTACCTATGGTAGGGAGTTGTTCTCCCCTACTTTCGTGGTGGAGCGTGCCCATCATCTGGCCTCTAGGCCTCCACCCAAGGGAGCGCCACCACGCACGTTTATTGCCAAATTTCTGAACTACCAGGACACTATTCTTTGGAACACCAGGGAAAAGGGGACTCATCCCGTTCCAGAATGTCAGTCACGGTTTTTTCAGACTTTTTGGCTGAGGTCCAAAAACGTTGTGCGCGATTTGTGGAGGCTAAGAGACAACTTCGGGTTCAATATATTTCCTATGTTATGCTTTTCCCTGCTAGACTTCAAGTCGTGGGGGATGACAAGGTTCACTTTTTTTGAAGACCCAGAATCTGTGCTGGCCTGGCTGGACCAGCGAACAGCACCAGGACCTGCACCGGCCTGATATTTTATTTTGGGATGGTTTTTGCTACTATGTTTCATCTCTCCCTAGCCCGGTGCCTCGGGAGTGCATCCCACTATCTCTGCCTCCCCAATTACTCCTTGTCCTCACCATTCCTCTCTCCCCTCTCCCACCATTTGTATCCGCTCCTTTCCCTCTCATTCTCTTTTCTTTCTTCTTTTTTGTACGGTCTACATTTCAGCTTCAGCTCCTCTCTCTCCTTTCTTTTTTTAAATCCTTTTTGTGAGTCTTGGGCCCTTCCTCTCTGGATATCTGGTGTTTCCTCCCCCTACCTGGTTCATTTTTCTTCTGTTTCTTTCTTTTCTCCCGTCTCTCTTCTATACTTTTCCCATGTTTATTATTCTTTCTTTTTTTGTCCTTGCCGCTTGCCCTTTTTCTTTTTCCCCCTCTCCTGTTTTCTTCCATTTCCCATCTTTCTTCCCTTTCTTTTCCTTACTTTCCCCTCTCCGCGCCTTCTTCCCTTTTTTTTATTTTCTTATTCCCTCTTCTTATTTTTCTTTTCTTCATTTCACTTTTCTATTTCTTGCTGGTCTTATTCTGGGTTATCTATTTTTTCAATGGGAAACCTGGCATCCTGGGCTGTGTACTGCTCTTCAGCGAATTGTTCGCTCCCATAGTACCTGGAGCTCTGTTCCCGCGCCCTTGGGCTTAGTTGCTTTTTTTCTGTCTGCAGAATTCAGTTTCGGGTGGAGCTCTGGTGTTTATTTTTTCATTCTACAACTTCATTTATGTGTGGTTTCCCTGGCCAGCTGGAGTGAGATGCGCTGTTTTTCGTTCCCTTCTTCTTGCTGGTCCATAGTCTGTAGTTCATTTTCTTATTTGTTCCAGTTGTTCCTGTTTGTTTTATACTGTGTTTGCAAAGTTGAGAGGAGTGTTGTGTTGTCCATTGCTGATTTCATGGTATCTCCGTATGCAACGTATGGCGCCCGTTTGACTATGTCCCAGATGAGTGTACACTTGTGTGACAGGAGTCTCTTTGGGTGGGGGGCTCATGGAACCCAGCTTACTTTGCAGAGGTTGGGAGACCCCTGTCTCAGCTCCCCATATTCCTCTTATGTGCAAGTCACCATGTGTCTCTTGGGGGCACAGGGTGACTAATGGATGCTGAGAATGTGGTTGGAATTACTTCAGATGGGACAGTAATATTTATAAGCCATATGAAGTCTATTCCTGGTTGTTGATTTTGAACTAGACATGTGAATTGAAGGAGCTGGACTGTCTGCTCTGTAGTGAGATCCTAATTCATCAAAGCATTGTCTAGGTGTGAATTCCCATTCACCTTTTGTTTCGGTCACCCAGCTAGCTAACCTAATTAACTTACTGTTTAGAGTGTTAAGTCTATTTCTGTATATAGCTGTGTTTTGTATATGATCTATCATCATGTGATCAGTCTCAGTGTGTATTGTATAAAAAGCGTGTTTGAGCTTAAAATAAAAAGTTACATGTTCAGACAGAATGGTGTCGTCTAGTCTTATATGGTCCGCTGTGGTGTCTGTTGTTGGTGTTCGGACAGGGAAGCAGTATTCTAACGGAAGTATTCAAGTGCAGTCTGGGTCGGTTCCATTACAACTTGTATCTGGCACTAACCCCTTGATCCTATTGTATACTATGTTTTGCTCCTGTGGATTTGCCTGCCCGTCTTTTATCTTTTAGAGTGTCATGGCCTCAAGTTCTTGGTATGAGGACTTGACCTAAGCGTACTGCAATCATGTCCCACATAAAATCTCTGAGGGCTTATGTGGCGGTTCTTGTGGTAACCCACGTCACTGGTCAGCTCCAGATGGCCCCTAAAAAACCCTGGATTGGCTGGCTTTATCAAGCTACCTACACCTCCAATTCACATGGTGTCGCCATAATAATTGCTAAGACTGTCAGTTTTCAGCTATTGACTTTGAAGGCGGATCCACAGGGCAGATTTCTTTTTTTTACATGCTGTTCTCAATGATCTTGAATTGTTGATATTGGCCTACTATATTCCCCCCCTTCCAGTTTGCGGTATTCACTGAGGGCCTGACGTTCATTGCATGTATGTCATCCTGGTATTCCTGCAGTGTGGTTGGGGGATTTTAATATGATTGTAGACCCTAGTTTAAATAAGTTGGATTACAACCCCATCTAAATCTCTACTATCTAAGTTGGGGGAGATGGGTTTTGCCCCCGGGTTTTGTGAGACCACGCTCCTTACTGGATGATACTTGGCCTGCCTTCTCCTTCCCCTATCTACATGTGGAGGTTGAATCCCTTTTGGCTGACCTTCTGGATCTGGAGGATGTCCAGATCAATTGAGTTTGTTACTTTGCAACTAACGTGGGTTCAGCTGATTTTGGTTTCGTTTGGGACTTCTTTAAATTGCATCCTCTCCTCCCTACTCTCCGATACAGCAGTTAACACGGGATCGCTCTAACATTGGACTGTGTACTGTATGATTACCCGCCGACCTCTCCAAGTCATGCTGTTCACCTAGCAGGAAATGTGGATAGGGGGCGGGTAATCATACAGTGCACAATCTGACGCTAAAGTGATCCGGTGTTAGCTACTGTATGATTGCTGTTCTAACAGGAGAGACGGCTCAGCCTGAACTGCTGCCACTTCTTCTGTACGGGTGGGAAGCCTGTAAGATGCAGGGGGAGGGGAGTTGGTAATTGTACTAGGAACACAATCTGGGGTTGGGTGAGTGGGTTCAATGAGGGGTGAACAATCATTTGTACTTTGAGAAGTATGTGGAGGGGGTTGTGCTGGAAAAAGGAAATGGGGGAAGGGTATGTGTTAGGAGACATGATTTGGGGGGGGAGGGAGATTTGTGCTGGGAAGGGATCCACTAAGTGTCCTGCCAGCACTGACCCTGTCCTCTTCTCTGCTGACTACTGTACACTGCCCTCTGTCTACTGCCATGCTGACCCCCTGTACCCTGCCCTGCTGACCTTTGTTGCCTTGCTGACCTACTGTACTCTGCCCTACAAATTGCCAACCCTATCTTCTGCCCTGCTGACTCCTTGTACACTGCCTTACCAACTCTCATACACTGCACTGCTGGCTTTGCATACTCTGCCTCCCTGACATTTTTACTGCACTTCTACATCAGACAGGCTAGATCTAGCCCTGGGAGGGAGAGACAAAACTGTTCTGTAAAACTTGGTGGGGGGGATGACAACACCATGTGTTACTGCTCCAGGTGACACCTAGTGATGCCACTGATGCAGTGGGTTGCAAATCTCAAACACATTTTATGCACAATAGAAAATAGAAAGCATATCAAATGTGTAAACTGAAAAATTGTACCTTTTTTTTTTTTTTTTTTTTTTTATTATTAAATATTTATTGATTTTTCAAATAAATACATATATCCATCATCTTCACATAAAAAATACAAAACCATTACTTATTTCCTTTCCTATAACTATTTCCCACTCCCTCCCCACTAATACACCCCCCCCCCCAATCCACCCCCTCTGCATTCCCCTACAATTACCTTAATAAAGCAAGAGGAACATTCACATCATCCCACACTATAGCTTCCTATACTTCACCTTCAATCCAAATTCTTCCCATTTTTTTCCATTTCACATAGTATAACCCCATCTTGTCTTCCTGCATATGGTAAAGTTTCTCCATCTTACAAATCTGGTTCACTCTATCTACCCAATCTTCCTCCTTTGGCACCTCTATCTTACCCCAAAACTTGGGTATCAGACATTTTGCTGCATTTAGATAGTACCATATACCCGATTCCTTATATTTTTTTCATTGATAGCTCTGTACTGTGTAAAAGACAAGTCTCTGGATCCAACCCAATATCAATCTCAGTAATCATCCCAATTAAGTGAACTACAATCCTCCAAAACATATAGCCTCTAGCAAGCCCCAGCCGTTCTCACTCACCCTCCTCTCTCTTCTTGCGAGACGGCTCCGGGCTGCAGATGTCAGTCTTTCCGTGAAAGTTCAGTCCTTAGGGGGATTCCTCTGGGTCTCCTATTTTCTTTTGTACCCCCGTTTTAATAGGGGTCCGGCCAGGGAAAACGGGCTGGGACACAAGGCTTGACTCCCATCCTTGGAACAGCCTGGCAAAAGAAATAAGGTAATTTTGAAATTGATGGCAGCAACACGTCTCAAAAAAAGTTTAGGCAGGGCAACAAAAACCTGGAAAAGTGTTACTAATGAGGAAGAGCTAGAAGAAAATTCTGCAACTAATTAGATGTTCTTTTTATCATCATGTTGCCATATAACCTGAGAGTTCAGAGAGTTTCAGAAGTAAAGATGGGCAGAGGTTCACCAATCTGGAAAGGTGCTTCTAAAATTTGTCGAACAATTTCAAAATAGTGTTCCTCCAACCTTAAACTTAAGACTTTAATATACTACCATCTACAGAACATAATATCAAAAGATCCAGAAAATCTGGAGAACTCCTCTGTATGCAAGGGACAAAGCAGAAACGTAATATTGGATGCCTGTAATCCTCAGACCCTTAGGCGGCACTGCATTAATAACTGGCATGATTTTGTGATGGACATCACTGCATGGGCTCAGGAATACTTCCAAATATCCCTGTCTGTGAACACAGTTCACCATGCAATCCAAAAATGCAAGGTAAAGCTCTATCATGCAAAAAAGCCATATCTGAACATAATCCAGAAACGCTACCGTCCGTTCTCTGGGCCATAGCTCTTTTAAAGTGGTCGGTTGCAAAGTGGAAAACTGTTCTGTGGTCAGACTAATCAAAATTTGCCTTTCTTTTTGGCAATCATGGGCGCCACATCCTCAGGATTAAAGAGGAGAGGGACCATCTGGCTTATCAACACTTAAAAAGCTTGCATATCTGATGGTATGGGGAGCATCCGTGTGTATGGAATGGACAGCTTGCACATCTGGAAAGGCACCAGCAATACTGAAAGATACCCAGCTTTTAGACCAGCATATGCTCCCATCCAGATGACATCTTTTCAGGGAAGGCCTTGCATATGTCAGCAAGACAATGCTAAACCACATACTGCATCTATAACGACAGTATGGCATTGTAATAGAAGCGTCCGGGTGCTTAACTGGCCTGCCTGCAGTCCAAACCTTTCACCAATTGAAAATCTTTGGTGCACCTTGAAACATAAAAGACCCAGGACTTTTGAGCACTGAGAATCCTATATCGGGCAAGAATGGGACAACATTCCTCTAACAAAATTCCAGCAACTGGTGGTCTCAGTTCCTAGATGTTTACAGAGTGTTGTTAAAGAAAAGGGGCCCTGTCCCATGTTTACCATATGTAAACTGGTTGCTGCCATCAATTTCAAAAATTTTTTTTTTTTTTTACATTTGAAATGTTATCTATAGTGAATAAAATATCAGTGTATGAGGTTTGCAAATCATTGCATTTTGTTTTGTACATTTTACACAACATCCTAACTTTTGTTTAGGATATGGGGTTGTATTAAGTTTCATGCCAGGAAATTCATTATGAATGTTCCTTCTGGCCTTGGTACCTGAATACATATCCCTAGAGTTGCAGTGATCTTGTGTGCACTGGCTGCTGGAATTGGAAATGAATAGTAAATCAGGCATGATTGACATATCAAATTCAGCCTCCCGGTTCATAGTATTATGCCTCACCTCCCCTCCCCCCCCCTTTATTATTTTCTCTCTTTGTTTTCTGTCATTTCAGCAGAAAACGCCCTCTGCAGTCACTTCACAAAGAACAGCGGCTTCTCCAATGACACCAGTGGTTGCTTCCAAGGCTGGAACCCCAAGTAAAACTGAGCAGCCATCAGAAGAGACCTCGGAGGAAGAGTCATCAGACAGTGATGAGGAGCCAGCTACTAAGGTGTGTTTAAAGGGGCCAAAGGGAACATCCATATATTGTGAAATTTAAGAAATGGTTGCTTAAATATGAAGAAATGTTTTGAAAACTGCCTTCAGGTTAACCCTACATTCGTACAGCATATTGGCCCCAGCTCATTTTGTGTGCATAGCTTAGTCATTTGAAAAACAAAAGTAGTGGGCATCTTTTAACCACTTGCCGACAGCAGATAGTCGAATGATGGCTTCACTGCGGCCGGCCAGTTCTGGGTGGGCGTCATATGACGTCCTCCCAGAACGCGCTCTCCTGCGCACCCCCCGGTGATCTCCATGATCGCTGTGTCCTACAGACACAGCTGATCACGTGGTACGGTAAAAGGCCAATCACAGCGGCCTTTTACCACGTGATTTAGCTGTGTCCAATGACACGCTGATCACCGAGAAATGCAATTGCCGGTTATCGGCTGCACTTTCCTCACGCTGTCACAGCGTGAGGAAGGTACTGCCGAGAACCGGCAGTTGTCAGAGGAGGGATTGGCACTGATCATCAGGGCACTGATGATCAGTGCCCTGATGATTGCCTTGCAGTGCAGCCCACAAGTGCCCATCAGTTGCGCCCAGCAGTGCCGCCAGTCAGTGCCAGCTCATCAGTGCCGCCTACCAGTGCAGCCTCATCAACGCACATCAGTGAAGGAGAAAAATTACCTGTTTGCAAAATAATTATAATGGAAACAAAGAAAAAGGTTTATTGTTTATAGCGCAAAAAATAAAACACCCAGTGGCGAGTAAATACCACCAAAAGAGAGCTCTATTTGTGTGAACAAAATGATACAAAATTTCATATGGGTACAATGTTGCATGACTGTGCAATTGTCATTCAAAGTGCAACAGTGCTGAAAGCTGAAAATTGGCCTGGGCAGGAAGGGGGTATAAGTGCCCAGTAGGCAAGTGGTTAAAATGGCCATCATATTGCTGTCTGTTTCCCTTCTAAATGCATCTTGAAAACTGAAATGGCACTTTCAGCGTAGTGGCAGAAAATGCTGCCCTTGGGCACTACAGACAGCAACAGCATTACTTTCAATGCCAGCGGTTGCTCCTAAGTTCTAAAACCTCATTTAAACCTCTACAGCCAATGTATGAGAGCTTGGAGGAAGAATCATCAGAGAGTGATTGTGGAGCCATCTGCTAAGGTATTAAAAGGGAGCTGGTTGTGGGTTAAATACATTTTGTGTGTTTTTTTTTTTTTTTTCTATATCGAATAGCTGTTCTTTCCCAACAAATACCAACTGATTTTAAGGAGGACAATTTCAACTGGTATTGGCAATGGTAAACAATTCACCAAGGTAGAGACATTCAAGAACAGTCCAGACAGGTTGGCCCCGCACTTTTTTTAGCAAGTCTGAAAGCAAACCTCTGTTAATGCAGGGAAAAATGTGTGCAGCTGTCCAATTCATAAAACGAACCTGTTTGTCCAAGCCGCTAACTAATCTCAAATTGGATATTGAATAACAGGGTGCCCTCCAATGAATTCCTCTAATTAAGAGGCAGGTCTCAAGAGAGCCCTGAACCTGAGCATCAGTCCTCTCACAAATATAGTATAAAGGCCTTTTTGGATAGGTATGACCAATAATGGCATCTGGCTACCAGGTAGGTAGGATGTAGACCTAGAAATAGGGGCATCATAGCGGTACAAAACATCTGGGTTCCAGGGCCCAGAACAGAACTTATAAAAATCTGAGAAAACAAAGTTTGTTTCTTTTTTGTCCATTGAGTGTCACAGGAATTCAGATACTGTTAGGCATACTACTGCCTTCAGGAGGATTGGACACTGACAAAAAAAAAATAATAATTGTTGGCCTGCCCATGAGTGATTTTCAAATGTAAACAAGTACTTCTGTGTGCAGTCTTACTATAACCTATTATCAAGGTGAAAAATCCAACCTATAAAATGTTTTTTTTTTTGTAGTTCATCCTTCTGCGATAACCAGGAACAGTCATAACATTTTTCAAATGTTCATCTTTGTTAATCAATAGCAACCAATACAGTTTATAAAGTTGTGCAAGTGTTCATCTGTGGTAATTAAATACAGTTCTGGTGTGAGTCTTCCCCTTCGCTCTCATCTGACATGCTCAGAATCCTGTAGACTTCTTCACTACAGTACCTTTCCGTTGACTTTTTGGCCACTAAATTTATAGGTACCTAGTACAACTCACTGGAAAAAGAGCACCAGGCCTGATCTTGCTAACCCTGCAGTTTTGTGTGCAATGTATCAAGTGGCAGTGATCTCCAAACACTGCACTTGCTGGGGGGGGGGGGAAAGGGGGAGGGTTAAGCGTAGGGGATAAACGCAGGTGCTGGCAGGTGTCGGGGCTGATCCTGCTAATGCTGCGTTTTGCAGGACACTATACTATTGTGATAGAATATAATAAATATGGTGATTGTTATATAATGTTGTGTGCTGTCTCTTTAAAGCAGTGAAAGTAAAATTTATAAAAGTCCTCAAACAGTCCTTTGAATGAAAATAGTGACATTCCAATCCCCCTATGGTGTCCAATCCTTCAAACCAAAATTCTTGCTATGGTGTCTATAAAGTCATCAGTTTGTGATCCACCCCCACAGGTGCACTTATTGCTCACCTCGTGATTAGACCTACATGTTGGTATAGTTCAAATGCAGTTTAAGATACTAGTTGCCCATCGATCTCCAACTCTTAGTGGGTACTTCATCCAAAGGTATCTTCACTTTAATCTCCCCTTGTGGCTCCAAATGTGAGATGTAACTCCAAGAAACAAAATATATATCTATATGTAGTGCAACATCATATGCATAAATCAATTATAAACATATAAACGTATGCACTCATAATAGAAAAAAACAACCATGCTCTAAACCAGGTGCTCCACTTCTCAATCAACACCCCTTCATAAAGGTTTAACGATCATAGTGATCAAGAGTCCACAATAACTTCCCATCATCCCTGTGTGCAATACACACTCTCCTGTTCTGACCTACCATATAATAGATCACAACCACGTTTTTTGTTGATCAGTTTCTGCATCGCTACTTTACCCGTACTGTCCCTTTAGGAGTAGCTACTAATAAATTAAGTTTATGTATCCAGTGAGTCTGCTCAGTTCAATACCTTTTTAGAATCCTTTACAAATTAAAACTGCCATATTCAATTATATTCTGTAGAATAGGATGTATATCGCAGGGGGGGATGCAAATGCAGAGTCCCTCCAAGAGTTTATTTTCTTCTTTTGAAGAAGGGACCTAAGAGGGATAAGAGATGGGAGGGAGAAGAAAAAAAGTGGAAAAAATTAAAGGAAGAGGGAAGATGTGCAATCCCTATCGCTCGACGCCAGGGACATGTAGTTCCGGGCGCTGGGCAGGTAGTTTATTTTCTACTTGTTAACCCTGCTGCGGGCAAGCAGCAGGGTTCACCCGTCAGGTGGAAGCATTGGGGCGGCAGCGCTCTCTTGGAGCAGAGGGGAGACAATTCAGGGTCTGTATGGACCTTGGACATCTCAATAAAGAGAACCTGTCACCAAAAAAAAAAAGTTTTTGTTTCTCTTTAAATTGAAAAAAATTAGTTACACCCAAGCATATAGCATTCCCCCCCCCCCCCAAAAAAAATAGAATTGGGCCCCCCCCCCCCCATATACGCACGTACAAACGTAAAAGCACACGCTGGGTGTCTATGCATGAAAACGTCAATTGCGATACACATGTTACATATCGCCGCACACGCCAGGATGAGAGCACCCAGACCTCCTCCGTAACACTAAAGTGATGACCTAGAAGGGGCTTTAAAAGCATCACCTATAGAAAATATAGGGTACTGAAGCTCATCTCAAAGTCACAAGTACACGCAAATTTAAGGTTCGACAAGTTGGATATCTATTTACTCGCTGCAACCTCATCTTTTATATTTTACAAAAAAATAGTATAATTTTATTGGTTTTTTTTTTTGGGTTTTTTTTTTTTTGTGCCCTAAAATTAACTAACGTATATTTTGTAATATCATGCGACATAAAAATTGGAACTACCACTATTTTATTCTCTGATTTCAGAAAATATCATGATTTTTTTTTTAATCTTGTGCAAAAAAAAAACGCAAAAAAAACAGCTCAGGCAGTAAAAGGGATAAAGGATAAGCCCAACACTCCCCTTTCCAGACGAGCACCCAATCAGTACTCATTACACTGCAAGGTCTCTCTGCTCCCTGCTAGTCTGAGTGCTGTGCTGGAGATAGGCAGGTAGGAGAGGAGGAGATAAACCGCACAAATGTTAAAAATAAATGTTCAAGTCACCATAAAAAATCCTTTTTGTTTTTAAAACCTTCCTAATATCACCTTCGATTTAAAATACTGTTTTGGTTAAAAAAAAATTTTTTTTTTTTTTTTTTTAATCTGGACAAGTAGATTGTCATGAAGGACAAGTAGATTGGGGCACAGATTTAGTCCATTTAGAGAAGTAGTTTTTTCAAACATTTACACACCCCTGTGGGGAGTTCTGCCCTCCACTCTGTATTGCCAGTGAGTTTAATCTGCCAAAGTATGGCAGATTTGGTTAGATTGTTCAAAGGATCTCACCACTTCCAAGGAAGGCCACTGACTTATTTGGCCGTTGTGAGACTGTGGCTTTTTGGTCCTAAACTTAATAACATGATCTGGAATGCCAGGGAGGCCAGAGGATGCTACTGCCTCAAAACAGCAGAGCTAGGGGGAGGTCAGCTGAATCCCATTCTTTTCCTTTGTGTACTTCTGCAGTAGTTGCCTTCAGAGCTGGACTCCCAGGCAGCTCAAAGGACTCAGCAGAGAGCAGCCAAATCCTGTGACAACCCTTCTGCATGAAGGTACGCCCAAGCTTCTACAAGTGGGATGCTAATTGTGATCCCTGATGGGTCCATTGGTATTTTTTTTGCCTCTGGCATTCAGGTGCAGAGGGCATCACTGTAGGCTTACAGGATAATCCTTTGCCTCTGGTGCTACCTTTTAGCTGCTCTTTCTTATCCCTCCTGT